GGGAAAAAGAAAGGGGGTATTATGATTAGTATGTATAATGTGGGGGGGGGCATGGGGAGGGCTGTGCAACACAGAGAAGACAAGTAGTGATTCTATAGCATCTTACTATGCTGATGGACAGTGACTGTAATGGGGTTTGTGGGGGGGACTTGGTGAAGAGGGGAGCCTAGTAAACATAATGTTCTTCATGTAATTGTAGATTAATGATAACAAAAAAAAATGTAACACTGAAAAGAAAAATAATTACTTCTGGAACTATAATAAGATAAACCTGACTATTCAAAGTTTCCACATGTTAACAAAATGGAAATGACCTACATGCATAAACACAATTTCAAAGTCAGTATATAGCAGAAACATGAACACCACAGCCAAAACTATTTTCAAAAATTCATTTTAAAATCTAAAGTAACTTGGGAATCTTTTACAAATCAATGTATTTATAACTTAAGAGTCAAACATTTCACTTCCCAGGCCACTGCCAACAATTTTAATTTAAAACTAACTACAAGAAAGAACAAGTCAAACTACATTTTCATGAGAACTAACCTCAACTTAATTATGTGTTGATACAGCTCAGCTCCTACATTTAGAACAAGTTTTAACTAGGAAGGTAGCATACCATAACAGCCAAATATATCAGCAAAGTAATGGGAATGAGAAAAGAACCTGTATCAGGAATTATAGTAAAGAGATGATTATTAATCCATTGTTTCTCATCCAATCAAGGATCTCACTTATGCAAACTTCCCCTCTTCTCCAAAAATCCCTATATTGTTTTTCTTTCTCCATTGGATCAACATTATAAATAACATCTCCCACCTTAAATAAAAATCCTCCCCTGACACCATATTCCCATTGCCCTACTTCTTTGATTTATAGCAAAATCTCTCAAAAAAAAAGAAAAAAACTATCCACACTCACTGTCATCATTGCCCTCTGTGATTCTTTCTCGAACCCATTGCAATCTCGTTTTCATCCTCATGTTGCTCTTATCAAGATCACCAGTGAGCAAAATCCAATTGTCAATTCTCAGTCCTCATCTTATTAAACCTACTAGTGGAATTTTACACAGATGATTTTTTTTTTTTGTTACACAGATGATTTATTTGTTATCCTTTTGCCTCCCAGACACCACTCACTTTTGGTTTTCCTCCTTTCTTTCTGGTCTGCCTTCATTACCTTCTTTGGAAATGCTCACCTTCATCCTGACCTCTAAAGTTGGCTTGCCTAAGGGCTTAGTCCTTGAACCTTTTATCTTCATCTTTATTGTATTCTCTAGGCAATAATAGCCTGTTTAGACTTAAAGTGTGATGTATACACCAGCACTGCCTGGCCTTTCTTTCCTGTACTCCAGATTCACATATCTAGCTGTCCATTTGAAATCTTCACTTGGACAGCTAATAGGAATTTCAACATTAACATGCTCAAAATAAAATCCTAGATCTACATATGCTTTTCAAAATCTACTCCCTACTTCCACCTTGTTCATCTCTTACCAGTATGAAAGCAACTCCATTTTCCAATTTCCCATGCCAAACACTTAAGAGTCATTCTTGACTATTCACCTATTTTATAGGTCCTACCTTTGAATTATATCCAGAATACACTGCTTCTCACAACCTCCACCACTAGCCGCCAAAGTCACTACATCACCTCTCTTTTCAGAATAATTATTAATAAGCCTCCTAAACTGCACTACCTGTTCCCATAAAACAGAATGCCCATACAACAGCAAGAATAATCCTTTTCAAACCTACATCACATCAAGTCACTTTCCTGCTCAAAAATTCTCATGACTTGCCATATTCACTTGGAATAAAAACCAGTTTTAGTGATGCTCTACAAAGTCTCTCCATGATCTAGCTCCTGCTACCTACCTCATCCACTACTCTTTCCCTTGCACATACATGCCACTCCAGCTACACTGTGCTCTTTGCTTTCCTCAAATTCACTAAGGATATACTGCCCCAGAGTCTCTGCACTTGCTGTTCCTCAACCTGAAGCCCTCTTTCCCTGGGTATCTGCCACACATCCGGAGGCTATAAAGGTTCTCAGGCAATGTTAAGCCAGAGGACACCATCTTCGTACTCTCCCTCAGCCTCGCTACAAGTCACTGGACTGGTACCTCCCAGAAAGGAGATCATCTGAAGTCCCAGTTTTTGTAACTGTTACCCAGAGGACACTTTCAGATTGCCTGGGCAGGACTGCCACAGGACTGCATATTTTAAAAGCTGCTATCTGAGCTGTAACTCAGCCTGAAACCAGGTGCTGACTAATCCCTCCCTCTGGGACAGACAGGTCTTGACACATCGTGAATAACTGGGTCCTATCAAGAATAAATCAGGATACCCAGACAATCAGAAGAGTTCAAGAAACCAAGTACTAGGGAAGGTTGAAAGATAAGGTCCATCCACCCAAGGCCATTCCTTCAAGATTAGGAGAGGTGGCTGCTTCACCTGATACAAAGAAAAAACAAAGACAGTCAAGCACAATGAGCAACAAAGGAATATCTTCCAAATGAAAGAACAAGATAAAACCTCAGAAAAAAACTTAATGAAACAAGCAGTACTAAGAACACCAGGCAGTTAGCCTGGTACACAGCCTGAGTGACTAATTAGCAATAGTAAGGCATTGTGCTAAAAGGTTTTATAAAGATTAGTTCATTTAATCATGAAAAAAAAACTGTATGGAGGTACTATTATTATTCCAATTTTACTACTGAGACAAAGGCATAAGAAATTAAATAACTTGTATGTCACACAGCTTTTAAGAGGTACAGTCAGCCTCCTGTACCTATTAAATGAGATTGTTAGATAACACAAATGGAGTATTTAACAAAATGTTTGCATATAAAATTCCTAACATTTATGGAATACTTATTATGTGTCAAACATTAATGCAGGTTCTTTATATGTATTTACTCATTTAATTCCCATATTGTTTAAGTTGTTGCCATTATTTCTTTTTAATTGGAATATAGTTGATATACAATACTATATTGGCTTCTCATTACAACACAGTGATTCGATAATTATACACATTATTATATATTCACCATAGTTAAGTGTAGTTACCCCCTTACCATACCAAGATATTACAATATCACTGGTTATATTTTCTATGCTGTACTTCCATTCCAGGGATTAATTTATAATTTGAAGTTTGTACCTCTTACATCCCTACTCACCTATTATATCCATCTTCCCACCTCCCTCCCCTATGGTAACCAATAGTCTATTGTCAGTACTTATGGGTCTATTTCTTTTTACTTGTTTGTTTTGTTTTTTAGATGCCACATATAAATGAAATCATACAGTATTTATCTTTCTCTGTCTCACTCATTTCACTTAGCATGATACCCTCTAGGGCATGCACATTATTGCAAATGGCAAGGTTTCCTTCTTTATGGCTGAGTAATGTTCCATTGTGTATATGTACTACATCTTCTTTATGCATTCATTTATCAGTGGGCACTAGGGTTGCTTCCATATCTTGGCTACTGTAAATAATGCTGCAATAAACATAGGTGTGTGTAGATCTTTTGTCACTATTATTTTCACTATTATTTATCAGAACACCAAAAATAACTCAACAGAAGTTACATAAAAGATGCTACTGAGAGATAAATGACACAAACTCCAAAATTTACTCTTCTCAGAAAAGTGTTAATATATGTCTTAAAACAATGTGTTTGAAGATTAGAACTGGAAACCAATTCAAAGTTAGCTGAATTCATATCATATATAAACATATCATTAACTGTGTGTTTGCTATCTTATAGTTCTAAAAAGCCCTCTAACATTCAAAGACAAAATAGTCACAGATTTCTTTATTTAAAAAATCAACCCCTTCCCCAAAAATCTGGTTGCTACTCCATATTGCACTGTATTCTGGTTAATGCATTTTTTTCATTATAAGTAAAAAATTGTCTAGATCAAAATATATCTATTTAATGTTTAAAATAGAACTTATTCATTTATACCAATCTGAAATCACTATGTTTACATACTGTAAACAACCCTCTGCTTTAAAAGTCAGTTTTATTAACAAAAATAAATTTTAAATCACTGCCAATTCCTTTCTCCTGAGTTAAAGTGAAAGCCACAGGAATTATGAAAAACTGCTTCATATAATTTCTTTGGCTCAACATAGCATTTGGTTTTTAACTTTTAGTTCAAACTGTAGATACCCATTCCTTTATTAATAATTAGCATATGAAAGATTCTGGGTAAAGGGTAAAGACCCTTAAAACTTACGGTGCAATAATGGCTCTAGCAGGTCTTTTTGTAGACTGTACTTGTGAGAGCCAACCTTCTAGCTGTGCGTTCAGCTGCGGTCCTATAAAAAGAGAAGAGGGAAATTGGAGTCAGCAAAGCAACGTACTATAGATAACCATATGTGACACACAGTCCTCACTGAACATATTTGGAACTAAAATAGCTTACTGGGCTGTGGGATCATCAGTTTGGATGTTAATGTTTGGAACCTAACCAACTACTAAGCAAGTCAAATGATCAGACCAAGTACTTATTAAATAAAATTTGCTTTTATCCATTTACTTATTTATTTACAATAGTCTTCATTCCAGAACAACACAATCTACAATTTGAGGTACTGCCTAAAAAACTAAAACGAGAAGCAAAAGACCATTAGTTTATGCAAAGAATCAAGTATTTTTTAGAGCATCAAAACCTGCTATAATCACTGAAATCACATCCACAGAATGATCGCTCCCACATCCAGAGACTTTTTCTTCCCTCCACTCCAGCTTCCTACTCCCACAATCATATCAATAACCGGTAACTACACCACCTCAAAAATTTCTATTTCAAGCATCTCACTCTCTCCACTTCCTTTCTTTCTAGTTCGCTCCTAGAAATCGGTCGACGCCAACAGATTTGGAGTCACTTTTACCACTGTCCTTCATCCTCTCTTCTTCCCTTCGTATCCAGCCTGAGACTTGATACATCACTCTAAGCACCCCTGTGCCTATGGCCTCACTTCTTTGCTCCTCTCTTCCTCCATCATAATCAAGTCATAGTTAAAGCCAACCGTCCACTTAAACCAGTACCTCTCCCTGAACAGCTGAATGAGACTAAGAAACATAATCATACTTACTTTGAAATTATACCTATAACTTTCAACAGACACTTAGCAAAGTTCAGAAATCATACCACATTATTCTAGTAAATGTGCTCTCCCATCTTTAGAACAGTATGCTAGACAGCTTCTCTTTTCAACTTAAACCTTCATCTCCTTCTCTCTCTCAGAAGATGATTATGCTTTTCATTTTGTCAAGGAAAAACAATCAGAAGCAGGATGACCAACCATCTGGTTTACCTGGATTTTCCCAGTTTTAACACTGGAAGTACTGCATCCTGGAAAACCTCTCAGCCCCAGGCAATTTTGAATGATTGTCACCCTAAATTCAGAGAAGTACTTCCTCCTTCCCATCACTTATTCTGCTTTCCCTCCTGTGTGAACAAATTGTCCTTGCTCCTGTCAAAAGCCAAAGAAATAACTGACAAACTGACTCCCCCTGTGATTTTCTTACTCAAGGACCCTGCTCCTACAACTGTCTCTGTCTCCTGCACTAACTTGTCCCTTTTTACTAGATCATCAGCATGCAAATAAATTATACTAGCTAACTGATTTCCCCTCAACTACCACCCCATTTTTCTGGCCCCCTTTTTCTCCAGCTCTCTTTTTAAACTTTTAATCATAAAATACTTAAATATTACAAAAGAATCTAGATATAACACCCATGCACCACTATCCAAATAAATCTTAACATTCTCTTATTTACACTTAAGATTTTCCTCCATTTAGAAATAAAATATTAAAGCCACCATTGAATATCTTGCTGATTCCATTATATACCTCCCTCCTTAGAGGTAAACACTTTCTGATTTTGGTACTTTTTTTGTAAATACTTTCACTAATATATGTATCCATAAATGATATGTGATATTCTGCATTTTTAATGTTATAAAAATATACTATATATATTATTCTGCAACTTGTTTTAGTCACTCAACATTATGTTTAACAATTATATGTGTTGATATACATATAGCCCTAGTTCATTCACTTCCAATGCTGTATATAGTATTGTACTATATGACAAAATTTGTCAATTCATTCTCTTATTCACAGACATTTTGGTTGTTTTCATTGTTTCGCTGTTAATATAAAAGGCTACAAGTCTCTTATAAACGTGTGTTAAGTTTCTCTGGGATTGATCTAAAAATAAAAGTACTGGATCATAGGGTACGCACATCTTCAACTATACTAGAACCCTGCTAAACTGCCCACTTAGCTGACAGATCAATTTACCCATCAGTGTGGGGGCAAATAAAAATAAGAGGTTTGATTCTCTGTTAAAAATAAGGCAAGAGACACCCCACACACACACTTTTCTTACAGCATTGTCTCTAGAAAACTTGTAAATTCTTTCTCTTTCCCTCTGAAATCTATGAAAAATCTTTTAGAAGCTAAATAAGCCTTTACCCAGCAAGCCAGGGCTGTCTTTGTCAAGGACCTGGTAGGCATCTCCTTGAAATGGGATCATCAAGGGAGACAGGGCTCCTTTCTGCCAGTTTCTGTTGGAAGATAGGAGCCTAACTTTAGCTGGCCATCTAGCTCCAAGTAGCAAAATTAACTCTGGTCATAAAGATACAAGGGTTTTTTGAGCCAATTAGCTAATACATACAATTACCCCAATTACCAAGTGAATTTAGGATGAACTGTGTGTGGCAAATATTGTTAACAAGTCCTCTTGAGAACAACTTACAGTTTATCTTGAGAACATGTATGTAATGGGTTGTTATATGCTTGGCTGTAAAAAAGGGTGAGTTCTTTTAGGTCTTTGCAATCTCTTAGTAGATTGCCTATGATGTTGTGGGTAAAACTGTAATATTTTCAGAATATTTTGCCTGGCTTTGGTACATCTGCATATCAACAGACATTCCTCAGGAGTGAAAAGCGGGAGTTCGTCTCCATATCAGTGGGCAATTACCAGGGCAACGGAGGGCTTATCTGAACCTGAGAGGTTAGGGGGAGCTCTTGCTTGCTTCTGCAGGAGCAGGAAACAGACGGCTCCGTACTGCAGTTTGTAAGCAATAAACGGCTTTTAAACTTTATTTCTCTCTTTGACTGATTTCAGTTTCAGAGGTATTTTGCCCGGGGATTTTCTTTCCCCACAGTTACAGATGTGCATTGCATTTTGGCTTAATACTTACTCAAAAATAAAATTGTACTCTCTTACTATTGAAGTGAGGCTTTCTGAGATGGATGAGGTTTTGGTTTAAATTATAGTTCTCCAAAATCAGCAATGATTAAAATTCCCATTTCCCTTCATCCTTGCCAAAATTTGGTACTGTCTGAATTAAATTAGTTTTTTGCCATTTATTAGGTATGAAATGGTATCCCTTTATTTCTTCTAATTTGTATTCCCTAATAGCCATTGAGATTAAGTATCTACTGATTTAGAAATTCCCCTGTTTATATTTAGGACTATACATATAAACAAGTTTATAATGAACAGTCCATCTGTAAATTACTAAAGTACAAAAGGTCTGACTCAGCAATCAAATGATGTAGTTTATTTTAAAAACTTAAATTTAAGCAAAATTTCCCAAAAAACTTATATCACATAATCTCATTAACTCAATGAAAAACAGTTCCTATTTCCAAAGTAAATTTTTTTAGTGCTTAATAAATTTCATATTAAAATAAGTATTGTTCTAAATATTTCAACATTACAGGAAGTTTACAGAACAAAAACTAACAGATAAAAGCAAAGAAAATAATATCTTCCAATTCAGCCACCCCACTGCCAAGAATTTCACTAAGTTTAAGTACTAAACCAAGCTTTCTTATCAGAGCTTCTACAAAAAGACCAATTTCTTCAGACAGATCCTAAGGTAAAACCAAACTTTAAGTTTCTTATTTATTTTTGAGTAAGATTGAGTGTATCCACTTATTACATGTGGTTGCTTAATTACTCATCTATAAACTGTCAAGTAAAAAATGAATTTGTGTTCTTCTACTGAGGCTAATTTATACTTGGCAATATGGTATCCTTAATACAAGAAGTTGATAAAGAATACATCCTTTGTATTTCAAATACCACTGGATAAAGGCACAATGACGAATGGAAAAATCTAAAGCATTATTAAATCCTAGCAAAACTACTTAATGGCTGTGCGCTCTTACCCTGAGAGGGATAAACAGGCATTTACTTCTTTGGTAAAATAGTCAAACCTGATTCTCAAAGGATCATTGCTAAGGTATTTCCCTAAGAAACAGATGATAAAGAATGTTCTACAGGTCAATTCAGTAACTTCTGTTTCAATCCTTAAATCAAACAAGATTTCACCTGGTGACAAAACCAGAGAGATATGAAACACACATATATACAGCCCCGATTTTCAGAAATTTCTATGCAACTTATTAATAAAACCATTCTAAGATGTGGTAATTAAGTAAGCCAAATTGGTTTTCTACACTTTCCTGTTTGCCTATTCCTCCTATTCCTCTTTGCAACAAAAAATACCAATGGCCTCCTCATTCAGAACACAAGTCATGTGTTCCGTAAACTTCGTTCAAAACAATGTTACAATGAACACCCGAGGATCTTATTAAAAGGCTAATTCTGATTCTGTAGTATAGTCTGGAGTAAGGCCTGGGATCCTGCTTCTCGAGTGGACTCCCCAGGTGACAGCAATGTTTGCTGATTCCACAGCCAGCAAACAGGAGCGTTGTGGAACGCTCCTGGTTCCACAAACCTATATACTCACCAAGGTTTACCCAGAGAAAAATATAAGATCAATATGGGTAAGAAATATGCACTCATTTAAAAGTGTTAATGAAATTTCCCTTCCCTTTTTTAAATTTATATTTTCCCAATCATCATCTAATAAAGAACTACTGTCATATAGGAAATTTTGTACTTTCTGGTATGATGTAGGTTCCTAAAAGAAAAGGAGGGAGAATACACTTTGAAAAATCTGAGGACCACTGTATCACATTCTAGACCTATCATTTATCTTTACTAAATGTATATGAACTGTGCAGCCTTATTTACTAGAGCTATTGAATAAACTATCACATCATAAGGTTAACTATGACCAATAATGATTTAATGTCACAAATAACATTGCCTCCATTTATTAATTGAACATATATTTATAGAACAGCTATTTATGTGCCAGGAAGTGGGATGGAAGCTATAATTATAGCAATAAAAGAGACAAATGCAATACCTGCCTTCATGGAGCTTATAATTGTCAATGTCTTAAATCCAAAGAGTGGCTGAAAGATGAAAATTTCAGACA